TAAGAAAAAGTATTATTTTTTAATATTGCCATATTTATCCTTATGCAAAAATATTATTTATCAGTATTAAAAGCATATTTATATTTAAAGGATTAGTTATTCACTTTTGTTGTTCAAAGAATTGTGGAGCTTCAAAAATTATAAACCTTTTTCTATTATATTATATTATTTTCTTTTAATAAGTTATAGTAAATTGTTTAAAAAATATCAAATATTTATTGATACATGTAATTATTATGTGTACAATGGTATCACCTATAGAATTTTTACCTTTTACCAAAGTTCAAGGTTTTGGACACTTTAAGACAGTTTAACCCAGTTTAGGACAGTTTTACCCAGTTTAAGACAGTAAAACCCACGTGTCCTGTCCAAAACCAGTTTAGGACGTCCAAAACCCCAACCCTGGTAAGTACTATATTTGATTTCTGTTGCACTCAGTTTACGGGAGAAAAATGCTAACGGTTTGAACCCGACTGGGGTTGAACAATTTAAAACTGCCCCAACTGCAGCGGAAGAAGCATCAACTATGAGACTAATTTGTTGGTCAGGAACGGGATAAGCAAGAGTTGTAGCGTCAACTAACGCGGATTTACATTTTGAAAATGCGAGTTCAGCTTCCTGATTCCAAGGTTTTCTTACAGTTTGAAAGCATTTTATTAAGAGGATCTTGAAGTTCAGCTACATTCGCTAAAAAACGCCTATAAAAGTTGAGCATTGCCAAGAAACGCCGAAGTTCCATAATGGTATCAGGTTTCGGAAAATTACATATTGATTCAACTTTATCGGGAAGTGGTTTAATGCCTTCAGCAGTAATAAGACAACCCAAAAACTTAACTGATGTTTTTCCTAACACACATTTATCGGGATTGAGTTTAAGGCCGTATTCTCTTAAACGGGAGAAAACTTGGTGTAAATGTTCAATGTGTTCAGTTTCGGAAGATGAAGCTATGAGAATATGGTCAAAATATGGGAAACAAAAAGGGAGATTTGATAACACTTGATGAATGTATCTCTGAAATGTTTGTCCGGCATTACGGAGACCGAAAGGCATAGCAGTGTATTCGAAAAGACCGAACGGTGTAGTTATCGCGGTTTTAGGGATGTCTGCTGGGTTGATTTTTATTTGATGGTAAGCCCAAGCGAGATCAACAGTGGAAAATATTGTTTTACCGTGAAGATTTTGCGTACAGTCTTGAATGTGAAGGACCTGATAGCGATCAGGGATGGTTACAGAATTAAGCTTCCGATAATCACCGCAAGGTCGGAAATCTCCGTTTGATTTTTTTACTACATGGAGGGGACTAGCCCAGGGGCTTTTTGATGGGCGAAGAACGCCAAGTGACATAAGATATTCGAATTCTTTACGAACTGCTTCTAAAATTTTTGGCGCGAGACGGCGGGGTTTTGAAAATACCCCGGTCAATAGCCCTTCAGTTTCAATATGATGCAAAACTTGGTTTGAGAGATTAGTTGGGATCGGTTGTGAAGGATTAAGTAATTCGGGATATTGTTTTAAAATATTGTGATACTGAGTTTTACCAATTAAAATGGATATATTGGATTCTAAGAAATTGATTTTGGGGGATTGGCCGTTAGAACCTATCATAGTTTTCGCATCGATAATTCTGTGATTTTTACAGTCGACATATAAATCAAAATGCTCTAAAAAATCTTTGCCGATAATTGGTTGGCGTACGTCAGCAATTACAAAGGGCCAAATGAATTCCCGTCGCAGATTAAAATCTAACGCTATTCGTTTAGTTCCGTAAGTTGGAATAATAGTGCCATTAGCGGCAAATAAAGTGATATCATTTTGTAATTTTGCGTTAGGAGCATAAGTTTTTGGCAAAACGGAAATATCTGCACCTGTGTCGATTAAGAAAGTCATATTTGAAGAAGAATCGGCCAACATAACGCGTTGCAAAAGGCGGTCGCCGTTTTGGCCGGTGGACGATCGCCGACCTAGTTTTCCAATGTGTGGGGGAAAGAACAAGGTGGGGTGCATTTTTTTGCTTTAATACCGAAATTGGTGTGATAAAAACACTGTCCATTTATTGGTTCTTTAAATTGTTTGAATCTTTGGGAATTGCTCCGCTTTCTAACATGTTTGTTACGCTGGTTTTGGGGATCATTCTGCCGATGAACCAACGCTGTTAATTCACTAAGCTGCCTAGATAGCTGTGCTATCTGTGCCTCCATATCGCATGTAGTTTTGGGCTTAACGACGCTTGCTGCGTTAATGGAATGCGGGTTGCACGTTTCGTGAATCTTGTCGGCAACAGTAGCCAACTGGCTAAGTTCTTGGTTCAGAGCCGCGAGAATTGATTGAGTGTTGTGGGGCAGCCTGCCCAACCAGAGCGATTTAAGTAATAGTTCACCAACAGATGATCCAGATAATGAGCGCATGCGCGCGAGTAACTGCGAAGGACGTTGGTCCCCGAGTTCAAGCCCTTGCAATAGTGTGCGGATGCGAGATGATTCACTTTCAGAGTGAGAATCAATTAAGCGCTTTTTTAAAGCCGCGTAAGGATAATCCTGGGGTGGACTAAGTAGAATATCACTAACGGAAGTTAACACATCGGCGTCTAGTGCCGCTACCACGTGATTAAATTTAGTTTCTTCAACAGTTATTTTTGCAAGATTAAACAGCGCTTCTAATCTGATAAACCAAAGAGTAGGATTGGGTTTCCAAAATGGAGGTGGTTTAACACTAACATGCGAAATTTGCTCTTCTGCGGTGGTTGTAGGAGGAGTCGTAGCCATAATAAGGCAAATATAATATAATCAAGAATAAAACACTAAAGTAAGAAAAATTATTTTCGAAGATTTGTTTACGCACACGTGCTTACGTTAGAACATTTCAAAATATATATATATACACAATAACGTAATTACATTAAGGAAATAATAAAGATTCGCGTAATTTGAGTGCAAGAGAAAAACAAATATAGAACAAATGGGAAACATAAAATAAACTACATACCCAATCAGCTCAGCACCTGTTGCACGTGGTATATCCATTAGTAATGCGCGATTTTTGATTAAAAATTTTTTTATTTCGTTAAAAGAAATAGATGATTTTATTAATCTTGAGTAGAAATTTTGAATAGTAATCATTTTAAAGTAATCATTTTGAAAGAATCTCCGATGAAGAAAGATATTGAAGGTTGCTTTTAAATTTCATTTAGTAGGTCACCAATCTGTGGTGATTAGATTAAATAATATTAAATAAATTGATTCAATAAAATTAATAATCACAAAAGTTTAATAATAATTAAAAAAAGAAGAAATCATATTAAGTTACAATGTAAAAGACAGACATGATTAACGACAGCAGCATTTTTAAAAGAGGTGCGTGTTCACCGGTCAGCAAGCCCGAATGAATGTTTATATTGAGCTGCTGCCAGATTCTGGAAACTAAAGTTTGAACACAAGAGATGTTGCCATCTTATAAAAAGGTTCAGGGAAATGTTTTGCACTGCCACCTGGCGAGTAGAGTTCATCGCCATCTGGTGAGAAGGTGGTTCACCACACACTTATATCTTAGAGTAGTGATTTACATATAGAGAACCAGACCCACTTCCCTTGTTTCAAAGGACGTTGTCACGTGATTCAGAGGCGATTTTCCTTCAAGTAAATATAATCATATATTTTTATAGCTTTTTAAAAGAATCACATGCATTTGATTTGGCGCATTATTTTCACTCCAATATTTTGTAAACGAATCACTTTTTATTTTCGCTCTGTAATTAGTAAAACTTCAAAGCATTAATATAAATGTTTTGAAATTACATTTTTTTAATAATTTCAACCAAATTTAATTAAATATTTTAATTTTTACTTTAATATAATGAATAAATTTTTGGATCAAGAATAAAATCATCTTTTAATAAAATTAGTCATGAATTAAAATTTAAAAGCTTAAGAATATATTTTTTTTTACTTAGAAAATTATTTTATTATATTAAAACAATTGTTTGGATATTCATTTTTATTTAAGAAATTTCGCTATTAAGACGCTCGCCTTCCAATGAGGTGAACCGGGGTTCGATCCCGGCGATGACTGGTAGATACGAATTCCACATCCGGCTTGCATCGACCACAGTGCAGATGTGAAATATCATCAGTGGTAGGCGGATCATGGGTTCGAGTCCTCTTGCCGTAAGGACCGTGGGAGGTTCTTGTGGTGCAACGCAATGCGGGTTAGTTCCATTTCCAAGTTTTAAAAGTTTCAATTAAAAGATCGTTAAATATGTATAAAATAAAAAATATATTTTTCATTTTATACATATTTACCGACTATAGTCAATACTATCCACTTTATCCATTTAAGTTAAATTAAATAACTCTATAGTTAAATTAAATAAATAATCACAAAAAACTGAAGGGGAGGATATTATTTGAGTAAAACTTCATTTGCTTCAAAAATATACAATCTGAAAATTTGTATTGAAGATCGAAATGGGTAGATCGAGGTGGCGTAGAGCAGAACTCTCTACCTGTGGCAACACTTTACATGCTTTCCCCAGTAGCGTGTGGAGAGTCATAGAGGAAGGAAGTACGTTAGATTCTTTCTTGATTTTCTTATAGATTAAAATCTTTTAAGTTGAAAAACTATCCCAAGTAGCACCTAATATTAGATAACATCAGAAAATCGGCAAAATCTAACGTTATCTTGCACAACTTCTAATATTAGAAAGATACAAGAGGTCGCTGTTTGCTCTGCATTATATAATATTAGATTCCATGCAAACTAATATTACTTTGTGTTAGTTTTGATGCTATATAATATTAGAT